AGGACTCGGAGCCCATGGAGGTGGTTACGATTTTTCAGGAGCCTGAGATGCTGGAGATGGAACCCACCAAAAGAAGAAAATGTGAGAACATGAACATTGGCAAAGGCAATATTCAGATTATTTTTTTTAGTTAAATGGGATGTCTGTGAATATATTTTGTTAACTTCATTTATATTTCTTTAATTTTTAAAATTAAACTTTTAACTGTCATTTGTTTAATCTTTTCAGCTGGGCGGAAACCCAAACCCCATCACATTTCAAACGGATCTCCAGACCTGGGCATCAAGAAGAAGTCTAGAGAAGGGAAAGGTATGTCTCATACATTCAGTGTTATATGCATGATATGTTTAATCAATGGGTGAGGAAACATCTGGGTCATATTTAACTGCAAAATCAAAAAGGAACTGTAATGTAATGTACTATAATCCAATTTTTTTCTCATTACTTTGATGTATTTCTGTTGTACATTGTATACATCATGATAGTATTCATTATACTCAATTTTGGGTAATTTGGGTAATCAGTACTTTAGAGAGCAATAAACGTGTAATTAAAATGTATAATAAAAAATGTGTAATTGTAATGATTACACTATTGATCCAAAAAATTATACATTATACAACAATTATATATACTGATGTTTATTTTTTATATATATATATATATATATATATATTACACACACAAACATGCATATATACACACATATATACACACATACACACATACATACATATATATATATATATATACATCAGTATATATAATTGTTATTATTTAATGATTATATTATTTGATGACGTGTTCTTAACAGGATTTGTGACATCCATGGCAATATTTATTTTTAAATGGAACCGATTATATTCAGTTTTTACATCTGTTGTGTTTTGCTAGAGTGTCAGTGGCTGTTTATTTGCAAGTATTAATCAGTTGAACTTTTATGTTGAACTTTTGTGATTATTTCTGTTTTCTTACAGGAAGTACATACCTGTGGGAGTTCCTGTTGGACCTGCTGCAGGATAAGAACACCTGTCCCAGATACATTAAGTGGACACAGAGGGAGAAGGGCATCTTCAAACTGGTGGACTCCAAAGCTGTGTCAAAGCTCTGGGGCAAACACAAGAACAAACCAGACATGAACTATGAAACCATGGGCAGAGCTCTCAGGTGAGGAGCTTGTGTGTGTGCAAACACCATAAGATGACTTTTTCCAACACGTTTTGCAATGCCATATTGACCAGTTGCAATCGGTATCCATAACTAGAACTACCTGTTCTAATGTTGTATTTGTCTTTGTTTCTCTCTCAGGTATTACTATCAGAGAGGCATCTTGGCTAAAGTAGAGGGTCAGAGGTTGGTGTACCAGTTTAAGGAAATGCCTAAAGACATTGTTGTCATCGATGACGATAAGTGCGACCCTGGTGATGACGTAATCGGAGAGAAGACCTACGAGCGAGTTCCTCCCTCATCTGACACACTATTGGCAACTGACCTCTCCAAAACCCCTGCTATCTTGAGAGGGGGCGGTAGGACTGTGGTCCATCCGGGTTCCCCAAAAGCTAAAGCTGCGCTCACTGCAACTCCTGTTCAGCGCATTGTAACGGTCTCTGCGTCAACTGATCCATCACAGCCGTCCCATGCCACCATTATCCCCAATGCACCCAGGTAACCAGTCTTAAATTTGTGTAAAAAAATAGATTTTTCAACTGTTATGTTTTAAAACATAATCTTGTGTCCAGGACTGTGCGGGTTGCTATGCAAGTGCCGGTCGTAATGACAAACTCCTTGGGACAGAAGATCTCCACTGTGGCTGTGCAGTCAGCGAACTCTTCACTCTTCACTACAGCGCCTACCAACACCGGCTCAGCAACCGTTGCAAACGCACCCAAAGTCCTAATCCAGACCATGCCAACAATGGTTCCCGCCACAGCCGAGAACGGTGACAAGATCACGGTCCAGCTCGCCAAGATAATCACCATCCCAGCAGCCCAGCTCACACAATGCCAGCTACAGGCCAAAACGGGCATCAATCTGATGGGCGCCTCCCTCGCTGTCCGAGCCCTTGCGCCCATGTCTGGGGCGCAGGTGGTCAGATTGGCTGTTCCAGCCCAGCAGAGTCCAGCTCAGGGGAAGACGCAGGTCCCCGTTTCAATCCAGACGCAAACTCAATTCCCAATCTCCGTTCAGATGGCATCTACTCCGGCATCAGTTCCAGTTCAGATCCAGATTCAACAGAGCCAGCTTTCTCCAAAAGCAATAAGCGCAGAGTCGAAACCCGACAGCACTTCGGCAGAACAGCCTGAGCAGGACAATCCCACACAGGAAGCAGCAGCAGTGGTGATAGAGGAAGGTTCAAATCCACAGACTGAAGCAGAGAGCTGAAGAGTGATGCCTTTTGTCAGTCATGAACAATAATAAATGAACTTATATTCCCCAGATACCATTCTGGGAGTACAAACTGGAGATTTGTTGACTTGTACAGTTTCGGAGTTCAATTGTGGTTTCATTTTATATGTAAAAAAAAAAATCAGGCAAAGACCACAATTCTCACATCATGTGGATTAAATCTGGATGGCCATCATTTCAATTATGAGTTATTAAAGGGACCTACATTTCTTTTTTTTTTTTTAAATCTAACTTTGACACTAATAACAGCTAAGCATAACACTAAGGAGTGAGTAGTTAAAGTAGTCAAGTATGTGAACCTTTGAGGGAGGATAAATTCAACTTTTTATAACTGGTATAAAGTTTTTTTTCCTTTAACATTTAAATTGCAAGGCAAAACCAGCAGTTTCTTTTGATGATCACTGTGAGCGCACGCTTCTGCCCGTGTTTCACAGGAACGTGTTGATTCTCCCTCCTCCTCTACTAAGGGAAGAAATGGACTTTGTATATATGAATTATACAGTTTACTGAATTTATAAACAATGCAGCCTTAGAACTGTTTTGTTTTGTTTTGGTCGTTATTCTTTTAAGTCAAGCTTATTAGGCTTTTGTGTTATGCTCATGTTTTGTGCGATTTTTATTTATTTTTTCCCCCCTCACACATTGTACCAAGCACAGTATTATTGGCAAACAAACTGCAAAGCATTTTTGCATTCTCATCTCAATCATCCAGATAAAAAAAGACCATACTGATTAGGTGTAAGTATATCTGGATCCAAATCCTGGAATGATGCCAATTTTTCCAAAAAAAAAAAAGGTCAATCATCAGCATGCATCCTCACTTCAAATACATTTGCTGTGCATTTTTCTTTAAATTTTATTAGTCGTTAAAGAGGGAGAACAAGATGTTTGTGTTCAGAATAATCTAGTTTGTATATTCAACATTTGAAGTATATTCTATTTTGTTGTACTCTTGTTTCAAAGTGTACTCAAGTAGATTTTACTCGAATACAAAAAATATTCCTGAATTTGAGTGGTGTTGTTTTTGATATATCTGTGCCAGCTGCAGAGCTGTTTTGTTTGTTGCATCTTGGGTCGCTATTTTATGATCGCCAACAAATGACAACTTTGAAAGATTTGAGCTTTAGATGCATTGAAATATTTGAACATTTACTGCTAGACCGCTTGCAACCGCCAGGCTAAATGTGATTTATTCTAATCTAAACTAGATTAAAAACAGAGTGGGAATTACCAATATTTTTCCACTGAAATATTATTCTTTGAAAACTGTTTCTGTAATGTTTATTCATATATCCATTTTACAATAAATGGAGGCTAACGGCTGCTTCACAACCAATTTTTTTAAGTTCTGGGGCTGGTTGCATAAACTGTTAAGACTGTCTTAAGAGCTAGTCTGACTAACTAGCAGTGATTCATCAATCTGACTTTTAGTGTTAAAAATTAGATGACTTCTAAGACTATTTTATGCAACCAGCCACTGTGTGACTGCCACTGGGTGCTAAAATGCAACAATCCTATGCAAATGTCAGAGGAAAATATGGCTTTTGGTGAATTACAGCTCACTTTTTTTATCCTAGGAAATACAAACTAGGAAAAAAATCCATATAATTGCAGAACAGAATTGGGACTATGTTTGATACCCATTGATAATAAAAATCTAATTCTTAATATGCCAAGCTGGGTCGAAGAGACAAACTGAAACACAAAAAACAGGACAGAAGCAAAAATTGCACAGCAAAAATCAAACTGGCAGAAAATCTGACCACAGACTAAAAACAACCAGACCTAGTGAACACAGCCTAAAGCCAGATAGTCCTTGCCAACAAAAGGCGGCAAGTTAGGCCCCAAGTGCACTGAAAATGAGGCTGAAACTGAGTTCATACACCCACACAAAATATGAGCACATGCTTTACTGGTTTTGCATTCTAGCAAGAGATTTCAATGGAAATCTAGTCATTACGTCATTGTGCTACAGTCTGCAGCTAGAAGTTGTATTTGTTGGCTGTTCATGCAGTTATATATTCAGCCACGAGGGGGCAGTGTGTTTACTAGATGTGTTTATGGTTACATTTGTTGTGTGATCTGGCGAGAAACTTGACCTTTCCACACAGACACTCTACTACACCACAATCTCTTAAAGCTCCACAAGACATCCTGTTCAGGTTTCACTCTTGGTTTTTAATAGTTAACTAAAACTAAACCCATTAAAACCAGTATCATTACTTAGAATAAAATTAAATAAAATGTATATTAAAATAAAATATACTATTATTTTCTAAACTTATTTTTAGTTGCCAAGAAGGGATGGAGTTGCAACCTCTTTCTGTAGTGGCCTTTACAGCTAACAACAACAACAAAAAAGACTATTTATAATTAGCTCATAAACTGTTTAACCCTGCAGGAAGTAATAATGCATGACTATAAAATTAAGAGCTCAGGTGACGGGTACTAATAGTTTAACTGTCTGAAATTGATTATGTAGATTCCGGTGAAACTAGCTGTGAAATGACCATTTTGGGGATGTTCCACAAAGGAAATGATTAATTAATAAATAAGTGAAGTGAAAAAAGACTTACATTATATGCAGAATTTGATACCCTCCCAAACATACTTTATTTTCGTCAATATGAAATACCACAATGCAACAGTTTTATTTGTGCACACTGTCATGACATTGCCAACAATAAGACCAAAAAATATTTCCAGCGTGATTTTTTTTTTAGTCATATATTAGGAATAAAATAAATGAAACATTTTGCTTTTAAACCGACATTCTCAAAGTCAGGAACATAGTAAGAGCTTAAAGGAATAATATCACACAAAACTGAATATTGTGCTATCATTTACTCACCCTTATGTCTTTCCAAACCTTTATGACTTACTTTCCTCTGTGGAACACAAAAGGAGATATTTTAGCTAATGTCCAAGCTGCTCTTTTCCATAAAACAACAATTTTACACTGGTGAGCTCCACAGAAATAGTCCACATGACTATAGTATGATTTAGAGCTGCAAGATTCTGGATCAACTGAGAACCACGATTTTTTTTTTTTAGTCTCAAATAGTTCACGATCCTCCCACGATTCTGAACTAAACAAAATAATGTATGACAAAATATTATTGCTCTGCAGTCAAGATTTAAATCACACAGATTTGAATGATCCAGTATGATTATTTCAAAGGTTTAATAGATACGGGTGAATTGCTGTCATTTAAAAATGGGATTGCGTGGGTGTTTGAATCGAGATCGCGATCTTTTAACGATTAATCGTGCAGCTCTAGTATGATTATATTTCTGAAGCCATGCCATAACTTTGTGTGAGCAACAGACTGATATTTAAGTTACTTCTTGCAGCTCTTAAAGTCTCTATTAATGTCAAACCTGATATGACAAGTCTTGAGGCAACACTTTTGATTGCAGTTTGAGCAAAAATGGAATAGAAGATTTCACACAAAGCTATCGTATTGTATGAACAAACTTACTTTGTACTGTACAGACCACTTTGACAGTGATTTTTATGCTTCGTGAAGGTTTTATTGTGCTGTAGTCTTTGAAAATGAAAATAAATCTAAAGAAAGCGAAACGTGAGCAAATGAAGACAGCATTTTCGTTTTTGTGTCCCTTTCGGAATATACTGACTGAATCGTTAATTAGTCATGAACAATGCAAAATATTTAGAAACGCTGTGCCAACACAAGTCTCGACTGCAAAATAACTAGCACGTCCGTAATTACTGGGAAACAAGCGCCGGATCCTTGAAGCTGAAGTCACAGACGAGGGAGAGGTGATCTGAAGGGTAGTTATAGGAAGGAAGCCTATTGGGTCCAATTTGTTCGGCTGTAGGAAAGTCCAGAACTGCATTAACATCAAACGCTCTGTGCGAATACCACACGTAATCCAGCGTGTGGCAGCTCTCGCCACTGGGCCGGATCTTCCACGTTGTGTAAGGAGGCTCGGTTTTCCCATCTGCACTCAAATGCTTATACGCACTGTCCAATCCCAGACTAGATGTTGCGAAATTCCTATAGACGTCTTCTGACGACTCGGCATTAAAATCGCCACATACGATCAGAGGAACGTCGGTATCTGTATTTTCTTCGGTCTCGATGCTCTGTGCAACGTTTCGTAGGCTCCGTAGCAGATCCGAGCCCTGCGCGCTGCGTAGGACCTCCCAACCACTCCGTGCCTTCAGGTGCGTCACCGCGACACAAAACGCACGTTCTGTTGCTCGGCAGCGTAGAGCGGTGATGATCGCCACCTGATTGGTCTTCAACATCATGGCGGACAGTCGTAAGTGTGTTGTGTTTAGTGACTGGAAGCATTTGTGATTGAAGAACAGAGCACAACCGTCTGGGCCGTTGTTGTTCTCCACATCCAGACATGGAGACCACGGTTTGGGGCAGAAACTGCTCTGGTAGCCCAAACTTGCCAGGACAGGCTGAAACATGTCAAAGTAGTGATCAACTTCCTGTAGGCAAATGATGTCAGGTCTGTAGCTTAGGATCTCCTGCAGGATCAGATACTTCCTTTCAGCCCAGTTCAGAGCATCCATGGGGCACTGCACAAAACTGTCCATGCCTTCACCTAATGCTGCAACAGGACAGAGAGAAGTTGGAAAAAAATGGTTTAAATGAAAATGACTTTAAAGCTGCAGTCTGTAACTTTTTTTGGTTAAAAATGATCCAAAATCAATATTTGAGCAAGTACATAACCAGCCAGTGTTCGAAACTATCGCCTAAAATTTAGCCCGATTCACAACGGTCAGCTTATAATAATGGTTTCTAATTTGAGTGGTACGGGTAGGTTTTCGCGGGAAATTCGAGCATGCCGCTGCGTCATTACGTCACTTCTGTAAACATAAAGAAGTTGTCCCGGCTACTAGGCTATTGCATGTGAGGATGCTGCAGGTGGCCGATCGTTTATAGCCTTTTCTCACAGCAGCTGGAATAATTAAATGTATCATTTTGATGGCGGCTTGTAATCCAGAAAGGATTATGTGTTTATGAAACACATGTGAATGAAATGAAATTATATTCCAGTTTTAAATGTGCTTCTGATTACAGATAGCCTGGGATTACACAAGATTTGTATTTTAAAGACAACCAGTTCGAAGGGAATAAGGGTCAATTTTTTTAAATTAAGATCTGAATAAATAAGCTTTCCATTGATGTATGGTTTGTTAGGATAGGACAATATTTGGCCGAGATACAATCTGAGGGTGCAAAAAAATCTAAATATTGCGAAAATCGCCTTTAAAGTTGTCGAAATGAAGTTCTTAGCAATGCATTTTACTAATGAAAAATTAAGTTTTGATATATTTACGGTAGGAAATTTACAAAATATCTTCATGGAACATGATCTTTACTTAATAACGTAATTTTTGGCATAAAAAAAAAAAAGATAATTTTGACGCATACAATGTATTGTTGGCTATTGCTACAAATATACCCGTGTGACTTAAGACTGGTTTTGTGGTCCAGGGTCACATATGTCATTCAGTGTCATTTCTTTATGAAGATTAATACCTTGTGCAAGTACATTCCACTGCATAACTCTGATCGTCTGCCTGGCGTCTCCATGCCCGGTCTGAACGAAAGCTCTCTGCAGCTGGGCTGGCCGGTTTCTCAAAACCTCTCTACATTCCCGCAGCAGCTCCAAAGGGTCCGCTGGGTCTTGATCCAGATCGTTACCTGGATTGTAAGTGGAGTCACACGGGTGAGGGAGAGCAGGTCTGCTGAAGGTCTTAGCCAGGGCACTGTAGAGACTGCTAGTGCTGCTGCCCATGGAACATGCTGAAAGAAACAAATCAACCAATCACATCAGGATCTTTCTTGATTTTTTCCCCCCGGAATTCTATCACCAACTCTCTTAAACTCTCTGTCACATTGCTGCAAATAGCTGTCAGTGTGAACACACCTTTACAATTAGCAGTTGTGCTGAACTAAATCAGGCTTTGCCACCTATTTCCACTTTAACATTCTATCCTGTATCTTTTTCAAATAGGACAAGCAAACACATGGTTAATTCATTTATACTGAGAGCAGCAAGTAGGATCGGCCAGACATGACTTGTATAAAACACGTCACACTCAGAGCTGAGAGGCGTTCATGCATGTAATAGCTCCATTGATCTCAAGGTCTCAGTAACATACAAGTTCACAGGTGTAGACTTCCTCACTTTAAATGAATGTCCTGGTTGGCTACACCAGAGCTTTCTGTTGGTCTGTAGGTTCCTGGTAATCCATCTTGACCGTAAACAACTAAACATGCCTTGATTAACGCCTGGTTAGCTTTGAACTCAGCTGCCTCTGAACTCTATAGATCACTGGGGGGTTTGCTGCTCAATGCTGTTAAATGAGTTAATTTAACCATATCATAATCTTTAATGGCACTTGAATAGATCTCAATGTGTGACTAAATAAAATTCATAAAATAAAATAATTACAAAAGTAAATACAAAATAATTAATAATTGTAACTATAAAATGATAAATAATATTTTCATTAAAACTATTTTTTTTTATTATAAATCATTTTGTATTATTTCAATTATTTAATTATTTTGTGCTGACACCCATCAGTGCAAATGTAGTAACTGTTAACAACACCACTGCAGAAATTACATGTAAACATGACAACCTTCATAGTGCAACCTGCTCCATATAAAATAAAACAGCATTTATTAGGATACTGATATCACTGGCGTGTTCATCTAGTGTTGTATGTTATTTATTTTGCACAACATACACTACTGTGCAAAAGTTTGGGGTCAGTATGCTATGACATTTATATTTTTATTTAAGAAGTACATGCTAAATTGTCAAATGTGATAGTAAAGACTGATAGTAAAGATGTATGTTGTTAAGAAAAAGATTTCCATTTTGAATAAATGCTGTTCTTTTTAACTTTTTATTCGTCAAAGAAACCTGAAAAAAAAAAGTATTAAGGTTCCAAAAACATATTAAACATGTTAACTGTTTCCAACATTAATAATAAATCAGCATATTGGAATGATTTCTGAAAGATCATGTGATACTGAAGACTGTAGTATAACCATTATTTTAAATTGTAATAACACTTCACAATATTATTGTATTTTTGATCATAAAATAAATGCAGCCTTAATGAGCATAAGACACTTCTTTAAAAAAAACAAAAACATTAAAAATCTTACTGATCCCACACTATTGAACAGTAGAGTATATATCAAAGTACCATTGTATTGCTATTTGATACCATCACTGCACCACGGTATCAACATAGTACTTCTTTGTAAATATACAGGCTACACACAGTTTTAAATAACATAAAAATGTCCATTTATGACCTTATATATTATATTGGGTTCACCTCAATTCCTCAGAACACAACTGGAGTTAAAACCAAGTGGCACAGATAGAAAGCTAAACATTAAAATTATTTAACCAACCAATAAAAATGACATCTATCATTAGAATTATAGGAATCTTACCAACAACCTCCATGATTTCAGGTCTGGATTTCAAGTCTGTATTACAGCAGTGTGTGTGTTTGTTGTAAGGTTGTGTGAGCGATGCTCAGCAGAAATGCACAACTGGCTGCGTGTGTTAAACTGCTTCTGACAGAATGAGATTACAGACTTGAGACGTCAGGAGACCATATGGACGCACACACACACGCGCCGAGTACACAGGTCAGAAGGGTGTCCAAGGGTACATAAAGCAACCATGTCACCACATGTGGTTTTTGCACCTCACACTATACGCATTTAGTACCAAAGCAAAATGCTGACGTTAACAAAACACAACAAACCACACCATTTTTCTTGCAAAAGTGTGATAAATAACATATGGTGTAATTCGTTTAATGGCGAATGTCTCTAACTGTGCGAGTTGGCATTCAGGAAGTTGGGCAAGGTTACAACGTTAGCGGTTTGTACATTCCCAATAATCTGTAGCAACAGTCACCTACTTTTTTGGCACGCATTTTATGCTACTAAGTCAGCATTTGATCATGATATGGTTCAAAAACACAATGTTGATTTAATCATTCTAACAATTTTAATACATTTTTACTGTCTTACGTTATGTTACTTAAAAGGGATAATTTCAAATCTCTGACAAAATGTACCATGGTTGAATAAAAGTTTGATGTTAGTAAGATTTTTTTTTTAATTAATACTTAAATGAATACTTTTATTAAGCAAGGACACAATAAATTGATTGAAAGGTGACAGTAAAAACATTGATAATGTTACAAATGAATGAATGAATGAATGCTGTGTGAAATTTCTACTAAGGCAAAAAATTGTAATAGTTTTTCACACTATTATAGGTTTTACTGTATGTTTTAATCAAATAAATGCAGTCTTGGTAAGCATAAGACGCTTCTTTCAAAAACATTTAAAAATCATACGGACCCCCCAAACTTTTTGAATGGCATTTTAGGTATTCTGATTCCCATGGAAAACTACAAATATAAAGACATTTTTAACATTGTGATTTACAGGCCGGGAAAAGCCATGGAAATTAATAGAATATTTAAAAGTCGCAGCAATTACATTTAACTTTTCTAATATTTACACATAACTGGAATGCCTGGTAATAGCATGGTATATGAATATGGTCCATGTATTCAGTATATCAAAGTGACATAACACTGAAATTTGATCCCATCACTCCACCATGGTAGTGCCACTGTACGTTTTGGGAAGGAATGTAAAGGAGTGTCATATCTTTCAGGTCAGTATTGTGCTAATATACCTCACTGCCATTCAACATTAAGTTTGAGGTCATGCTTAAAAGTCACAGACCAAAAATAGCTTCATCCACACAAACAGAATGTGGGGAAGTACAGCAACACTATTATTACAGATGAAGGGTTAGATCAATATGACTCTACTAAAGGGTTAACATGGCACTGTAAGAAAAAGATCCTCCAATAAATTAAGATATTGTCTCTTATCTCATTCTAGCTTCATTCATGAGATTAATCAGATCTCCTGCAATTTGACTCCTAGTTAACCTGCTTATCTGTGCCATAAAAGAAGCTGTTAATTGTAAGTGACAGCTGAAGCAGTCATGAGAAATCATACACGATAAGATATAATGACATTTGTGTTTCAGAGTACATGAATTACCGGTCTATACTTGCCACTTCATGCGTATCATCACTTTCATAAAATCATGAAAAGACTATGGCTGCATACCTCCTAACTATACAGTAGGTGAAAAACAGTATGGGAAAGAGTAGTATGTCAGAATTCACAGTATTCATAAAACAGTAATCGAAAAGTGCCTGGACAAATTCCAGCAAGATTGTGAAGTGTGCATCTGATGGATGCTTTACAATCCCATGAGGCCACAGGAAAGGAGTTGTGAATGGCAGTGTAGCGACAATGACAACATGATGAATGTAGTACATCCACATTACATTCCTACTACACATTTTAACTGTCACAAAGGAAGTGTAGATGGAATGTGTGAACTCAAATAGATACCGATTCAATCACTCAAAATGCATTAAGGTGTAAATACCCTCAAAGATGTTCTAATCTGAATCGGTTTTATTTATTTAAACAGTAACACAATTACAAGTGTACTATTGCTTACACACAGAAGTTGTAGGCCTATAAACAAATATTATCACGGAAATTATGTTTCAGACAAAAAAAGGTCAATGAAAATAAGTTCAAAACGAAGAAAAAACATCAATCTTTGACGTGACATGATTCCTATACTCATTAGTGCTCTGCATTTACCCATCCAAAGTGCACACACACAGCAGTGAACACACACACACAGTGAACACACACCCGGAGCACCATTTATGCCACACCATTTATGCTGCAGCATAAATGGCTGCCCACTGCTCAAGGGCACCTCAGTCGTGGTATTGAAGGAGGGAGAGAGCGCTGTACATTCACTCCCCCCACCTACAATCCCTGCCGGTACGAGACTCGAACCCACAACCTTTGGGTTATGAGTTCGACTCGCTAACCATTAGGCCACGACTTTCCCCAGTTTGCATCATGCAACATGAAGACCAAACACGGATCTGACACAACATATAGGTATTCGCTCCACTCCCATTCCTGCTAAAGGGATAGTTCACCCAAAAATACATCCTACGTCATCCTCTGGAACGCTACTCTCTTGTTAACACGTGTAGAACAGTTGACGGAAGCTAGAGATTACCATTTATAAAGTTTTAAATATGGATATTTTTCTTACACAAACACATCGATTCACCTCAGGAGCTGTGTGGTAGGGCTGTGCGATTAATCGAAATCGAATCGAAATCGCGATTTGAGACGTTGCGATTTCCTAATCGCAAAGTCTGCGATGTGGACGCGATATTACTCTGTTCCAGAGCATATGCATGACTGCCAGCCTTGAATTGCAATCTTACTTGCCCTGGGCAAGGGTGAGCGCACCTCCGTTCTCCCCAATCAGCACTGCTCTAGCCAACTGCGTAAACACCCACCATTAAAAAAAAAAAAACGGAACGCGTTGATGGGAGAGAGACAGAGTGGGATTATGGCGTCTACTGGGTCATATCGATAGTTAGGCAAATTAAAACTAAAGAAAACCGTATGCAACTTAAGCTTCGAAATGACAGACAACGAACAAAAAAGGTAATTTGCAAGAGCTGTGTCACCGCGCATATCAAAAGCTCCCTTATCGGTTGTTTTCAGTACTGGAGAATAAAAGATAACGTTACATTCTTAGATGTTTTTGTTAGTACGTGAACGTTATCTTACACATTTTATCTCCCCAACAGATTAATTTGAAATAAGTTTATGATGCATGTTCGCTATTCCCAATTCAGAAGAGCGCACAAACAGCCTGTGTCTGTGAATGCTTCTCCCCGCGTCACGGACCAGCCGTTCATGCTTGCCGCACTCATGCAGCCTGTCTCTTAATGCTCGTTTATACTCGCACCCGGCTCCGCACCGCAAGTCTCCACGAGCGCATCTGGCAGTATGGATGAGGCTTTATACATAAACGTGATTGGTTTGAGAGTAATAGGTCTCGTGATTTTCGTCATATGAAATTGTGCATAGAAAACTTTAACCGCCAACTGTTCATCGTGGCTGCCGGAAGCGCATTCTTCAAGCATCGATTCAGTCACATGTTCCTCTAACTTAATATGTTAAGGTAAATTTTGGATTTCTGCTTACTAAATGATTTGCTACTGTATATGCTTGCCTATCTACATGGCCTGAAATTTGGTGTGAGGTTGCGGGTATTGCATACAGTGTTAACTTTCGCAAGTGCCACGTTCGGTAAATTCCCACTCACTTATGAGACGCGCGATCTGCGCTGACTCGTCTCTCTCTCGCGTGCGTTCTGCAGCAGTCACTTAGTCGTTGTTGCTTGTTGAACTTGTTGACTTTTGATGAGTTTGAGCGCGTGTTGCGCGCTGTGCAAAAGTGTGTTGGAAACACAAACTGAAGACCAAATCTGCACCTTATTGATGACCCGTGGCGTTAATATACTGCATCTGTGCCAGCGCGTGATGTAATAAATTGAGGCGAATATCTCGCGTTCGCGGCAAACGCGTCGCGCATTTCGCGTCATTCGCGTCGCCTGGCGCGAATTCGCCTCTATTCGCGTCTTTGCGTTGACTTTGTATGTAATCTACTCGCGCGAATAATTAAATTCGCGTTTGGTGTGAACACACTGTTATGGGCGTAGAACGACACGAGGGTGAGTAATTAATGACAGAATTTTCATTTTTGGGTGAACTATCCCTTTAATGGTGGTAATGTTTGTTACATCGATACGAGAGTAGGTGGCGAAAAATGTATTATGAACGAGTCATTGAATCATTAATACAATCGATTCGTTAAAGTAACCAATTCATCAAGAACGGAAACGCCATTGCTGTGTTTCTCTCAGTGAGGCTAACCATTGATCCTGCTTTGGCATTGTTTGGAACTGGCGATATTGTGTCTAAAAGTGTAAGTTACTCAGTATTATCTTCATTGAACTGTTTTATGAAGTCAATATCACTCTTAGTGCTGATGTTATGATTATGAATACCTGCGGCCTCGTGCTTACGAGAAGATCATATCCATGCTAATATTTAGAACTAGCCTGTCACTCTTAACGTTACTTGGTTGATACTGCGTAACTGTTCATAATAAAATAATCGTAGTCATAGGACAACATTTTCACATGGAAGCATCACTAACTGTATCATTTAATTATTCGTAGTAGGTTCAAATGTAAACTTATGCAGCCTATTGTTTCTTAAATGCCGTAACGTTAATGTTTATGTGAATAATACGTTTATCAACAAGTGGACTGAGTTGAACGCATTACAGTAGCGTTATCTTTCTTAAGTTAAACAAAGACCATCACAAGAGCTAGTTGGAGGACATGCAGCACTTTAACATGATTTGTGATTCAAGAACTTCGACTACGTTACAGTTCATGGAGGTAACGTTAGTTTGGAGAACAGTGTGAAATCAATAATGTGCGCTGCGCCGACCGATCATCGATGAAACCGACAGGAACAAATGCAGAGAAGACATAAAGGACGACATAGCGTATACATTAAAGGTAAGCGTGGCTATGCGTAGCCGATTTTGTCACTCACCAGAGTGGATTCAAACACTGAATATTCCTCTTGTAGCTCGGTTATTGCGTGTGTCGATGCGATCTGCCTCCTTTTGGAAACAAAAGTAACCTCCTCGAGCATACACACGGCACAAAAACAGCTGTAAACT